TTATTTTTAGAATATGGAATTGATTATATATAAAAGTTATCCCAAAAAATGTTTTACTCCATTAAGATCATCCAGTAAACCGATTCATGCGTAAAAGTAGTCATGTTCGTTCAAATATAAAAAAATTAGTTCAATGTATATTACATTTTTAATATACCCTATTCCGTGCTTGTTTAAGAAGATTAGCTGTGGTGAACACTATTAAAAACACGTTTTTTAGAGCAGGAATTATTTTCTTCCACTTTCGTAAAATGAATTTCTTCAGGATCTTTTTTAAGTTCTAAACAAATTTGCAATGCTTATTTATGTTTAAAGGAAAACTTTTGTGTGCGCATATAATGTGTAAGCTTAATGGCTCGATATCCATTCGCGATATAACGAAACTATGATAATCCAGCCTCCTCAAGTGTTCATGCTTCGAAATTAAAGTCAAAATAAAATTTCATTGAAGTTTCTTCTATCAAAATAATCTATATAATGTTGAGAGCCTTTGCCATGTAGTGCGTTAAAACCTTATCCATGCGAATTCTACGTGTCGCCAAAAGTCCCAAATATTGTAGACGACGATGAACTGTTAACAGTAGTGCCTCTGCTCGCCTTAATATAAACAATTTTCCAAATACTGCTAATTGTTGATTGTAAAGTAAGTAGGTTGTGGGTTCCATCTTTTCTCTTTCAACTGTGTCAAGGGGTCTATACGAGAGCCTGGGTTAATCTGTTAGAGGTATATTTCATAGCCACTTCATTGTAAAAATGTTGCAAACTTCTTTCTGTTTTGGGCCTCAGAAGAGTAATTTTCTTTTAATAAGAATTTATGACCCAGTATTCTTAGATCCAAAAGAAACCCTATACTACTTGATAAGGAAGCCTATTTATTCTAGAATTGTTTCGTATTCTATCAGGAACTCGAGTTAGAAGAATAAGGAAAAGTATAATGCTCAAGAAGGGGTAATTGAATTTCACTTAGACGTCGGCTTAGCATGCTGTTTCATCCTCGTACGTAGTCTTGAGTATTGTGGCAACACATTTCCTTTCTACTGCTTAATCGATGGTAACAGTGGTTCACGGGTCAGATTTGACCTTTAAGATAAGTCAATTAACACTTATAATAAGCAGTGAGAGAAAGGGAAGCTTACATTTCTTGGTATGCTCAATAACATTACTTTATTTTTATTGAGCAAGCTGCCAAATTTTCTAAAACTGACATCTAAGTGTGAATCATACATCATTATAAACTACCTTGACTTAATTAGGCTCATAGTAAAGATCAATGTATTGTTTGTAGGTGTACACACTATGAATATAGTAACGTCGTTGATAGGGATGGTAAAATGCAACTTTGCCTCATCCATATCAGTCGAAATATTTTAAAACGTAAATTTGTAGAGACCTGGCTGTCTTAAATATCACATTTTCCCTATTTACAAACAGTACTTTTGGATGTGTGGTCGAGTGGTAGCGTTGCCACTAGACGTAGACAACTCAGTTTTGAATTCAGCCTTATGTGGTAATGGGACCGAGTAAAGTTGGTAATGTACTCTAGCCCACAACCTTTTTAAATGCAATTAAAAGTGTTCAAATTTAGGAAATTTTACTACCTGTCTAACATCATCTCAAGACTCTGGTAGCTCGATGTGCTGATTATAATAGCATGCCGATCTCTTCGAATTTTCATTTTTACTCACTCTTAACAATTGAGAGATAAACTTATTTTTCCAGAGTCATAATCAAGAATTAATGATAATCTCTTTGCCTACTCACATAGAATTAAGTAATTTCGTCGATTTCAATAGCGAATACATGATTGCCTCCTCGACATGAGGGAAGCCAGAACTGCCTTGTATCTTGGCAACATCTTCCTCACGATCCGATTTTGAACCCCGTTTTGGCTGCTGATGAGATGGTGAATCTAAGTGGAAAATGTAGTCTAGGTTGGAGGAGTAAAACAAGTAAGAGAGAAGACTAAAAATACCTCAAGTAAATCGAAAGGAATACTTATTTTACAATAGGAAAAACTCAACTATCCTTACTAGAATCCTCTCAAGCAACCTAGTCCGTCCTAATTAACAATGGGCCAGCTCCATTTTCTCGAGACTCTGAAAATATGTTACATTTTATTATTCCTATGATAAGTAGGTTTTCGAGACTACCAGTTGACCATATACATAAGCGGTATTCACCATATTTTGTTTAAGATGATAAGCTGAATTTTCTCACAATGCTGTGAGTAGACCTCACTTTTCCATCGAATTTCACAAAGTCTTGCTCCTCATTAGGAAAGTGTTGATTGCAGGTTCGAACTCGCTTCATATATGTACGTGTTGTTGTTTCTACGAGGATGTAGATAATTATATTAAAATCCTTCTCACATGCTCTGCTTTGCCTCACAAAGAGCCCATTTCAGGCTCTAACAAAGCCCGGATGGCTCGCGGTGTAGGTGGGAAATTGCCAGCATCACATACCTTTCCTGTGCACAGCAGACTGCTGAGTCCCAAAGTAGAACCGGGCGGAGAGAACTCCGCTTCAACTGCACTGCTCGCCTCACCGGAGCCAGTCTTGCCGCATTCCATGTCCCGTAACCATCTACAGCGTCCTTATGAACCCAATGACTTTCAATCTCAG